ATATTTGTACGGCATAATTAAAGTGATCAAATTTTATATGTCCCATATAACATTTAATATATAAACAAATGTAAAGGCTACATATGTATATTTTATAAAATATAATACATATCATGTTCTATTTAAAAATACATTTATCTTTTCATAAGAGAAAAAAAATTAAGTTAATAAAAGAAAGATTATATATGGTAATCAATTTTTTCATAATACGAAATTTATATATAACATAAAAAAAAGAAGAAGAAGAAAAAAAAAAAAAAAATGATATAAAATAATATAAAATAATATAAAATAATATAAAAGAATATAAAACACTACAAATTAACAGTATTCATTTTATTATATGTTCTATCATGTCTATTTTAATTAATATAAATTAAAAATTCTAACAAAAAATTAAAGTATATTATATGACAAAAAAAAAAAAAAATAAAATAAAATGTGGTAATAATATTCTTGTTCCACTTTTAAATATATTAAAAACAAACAATATATACTCAAAAAAAAAAAAATAAAATAAAATAAGAAAATAAAATAAAATTAATAATTTAATAAATAAAGAAATATATATATAATATAATATAATGTAAAAATTACATTAACTTCAATGATAAAAAAAGATGTGTTCATATTTAATTAAAATGTAGAAGACATTTTTTCTTCAAATAAGAATATATTTATCCTTTTCTTCTAATATATTATATATATATATAATGTTTATATTTTATGTTGTCATAACTAATACATGTAAGAATACATTTGTACAATTTTTTTTGTAAATCGACGTATATTATCCATCTGTTCAATTTGATTATGTGGGCATAAGAGAAGAAAGAGTTTGATAATTTTTTGAACTTGGTGTAGGTATAAAATTTTGTTTTTATCTTGCAATGAATTATTTTTTGTCTCTTTCGACTTCTGATTAATATGATAAAAAAAATGGTTAACAAATAGGATACATGAAAATACAATAACAGTATCATCATATTTATTGCTTATATTTGGTATACACAATACATCATTGAATACCGATAAGAGAAATTTATTTATAATATATGGTGATCTAGTTATAAACATTAATTCATATAGTAAGGAATATTTTATAATATTATTGGATAGTTTAAATGAAGATGTAAATAAAGCAATCCTTTCCATTTTTAAACTTTCTTCTTTTTCTCGATAAATATTTTCTTTAATAATAGGTACATATTTATTAATATTATAAACAATATCCTTTAAGCTATTTATATAAATATTACTTTTTTTTTTTTTATGATAATGATGATGATAAGTATAGTTATTATCATTTATTAGTAAAGATATAAAAAAATTCGTGGTATTTAAAATATTTCTTAAACATATACTTTTACCAGATATTTTTATATGTGAATAAATACATGCAGTAATTGCATATTTAAGACATTTTAAATTATTAATTTGTATAAAATTTAAATTATTATATTTTTCTCTTTGAGGAGAATAGGAAAAAATATTTTCAAATTTTAATTTTATTTGTTCATAGAAAAAGTTATTTTCAATATGTAGTGGTGTTATATTCTGAACGGGACTATCTGCTTCATGATAATTTTCTGATATGTTATTATTTGAATTTATAGATTTATTATTATATGAAAATGGTTTATTGTTTTGACAAGATAATATTAAGTTATTTTTCTTTGAACCAATAATATGATCATTCATATGTTCAGATATATTATCATCATTTATAAGGGGACTTATATTATCATTACCCTTTTTAAATGAATCCGTATCATCACGTAGGAGACTATTATTTTCATTTTTCTCTGTATGAGAGCCATCTAAATGTGTATTAAGTATATTTACATATCTAGTTTTGAAGATATGATATAATGTTTTATATATATCATTTATATTAACACATACTAAGAAATCATTATCTACAAGTATATTCTGAATAACTAAACCTAGGATAAAAAATATGTTATGTAGTTGCTTTTTTAAATCAAAATTATTATTGTAATTTTTTTCATCCCAATTCATTTTTGGATAAGTTCAAGAAAAAAAAAATAATAATAATAATAAAATAATAAAAATAAAAAAATAAAAAAAAATAATAAAAAAAAAATAAAAAAAATAAAAGTATATATGTTATAATATATATATATATAAATAAATTTCCGGAATTTATCTCATGATGGTAATTTTTAATTTTTGAACTTTCACATATTACGAATTGTATTTAAGTGTAACGAAGAGCTTATCATTTTTACAAAACAAAAAAAAAACAATAATAATAAAATAATAAAAAAAAAAAATATATATATATAATATGTATATATATATATATATATATATATTATGTACATCTTATATATTTTGATACACATAATTTTTTATATATAAGGATAGATTTAAAAATAAAAAAAGAAAAAAACAGAGGATCGTCATAGAAGAAAAAATATATATTCACAGGAATGAATATATAAAATTAAATAATAATAATAATAATATATATATATATTTTTTTTTTATTTTTTCATTTTTTATTTTTTTATTTTTTCATTTTTGTATAGATCCTTCACCCTTACATATAATAATGATGTTTAGATAAAATGACGGATGATTGTGCTTTTATAAATATTATAGTTTAGATAATTATTCTTTTGAATTTAAAATGCTACATTTATGTACAAAGCAAATTTGGACGAAATGGCTCAATTATGAGTGTTTGAATTATAGTAAGAAATACTTAAAGAATGTGAGGTTATTGTATGGCTTGAAAGGTAATTATTCATGCTTTTTCTCAACCACCGAAAAAGGTAATATGGATGATAACAGTAATAATATATATGTTAATAGTAAAAATAATATTTTTTCTGAAGAAAACAACATTTGTAATAATATTGAAGAGAACAATTATAAAAAAGAATATGATGATAAAACAAGATTAATTATTGATCATATGAAGAATAAATACGATATAACACCTAACTCTTTAAATTTTGATATAAAAAAAACAAAATGTGAAAAAGAAGATGTTTTCGATATAGGATATATCTGGAGCGCTTTTTTCAAATGTGAAAAAAGTTTGTATAATGTTATTAGTAATTATGTAAGTACAGATGTGATGGATAATTATCTGCATTCATATTTAAATTATAATGAAGAAGATGCATACTTAAAAGATTGTTATAAAGAAGATATTCTTTGTAATAATATAAATATTGATGATATAGAGAAAAAAGTATATAATATACTTATATATATTACATCCTTTTATTATAAAAATATTCGAGATTATAATATGATATCCTTATTAAGTGATAAATTAATACATTTATGTAAAACAATTGATTCTATGAATTATAAGAATAGTAAGTTAATATTTAACATTTGTAATGTGTATAATAAAGTGATGGCACTAAACGATGAATTGTTTTTCATTCTTTTTAATATATTAAATAAAATTTATGTACAAGATAATAAAAATAAATATACTGTAATAAAAGATAAAGAAGTTTTGTTAATATTAAAAACATTGTACAATCAAAATTATAAAAATCATATAATAATAGATACCATAATTAGTTATATAAAATATGGATCTAACTTAAATTCTGATATAATTGTTGATACTTTTTTCTATTTAACTTTACTTTCCAGAATGGACCATGAATTATTTAAGAAGGTTCATACATATATATATAATAATATACCAGATGAAGAAAAAATGGATTCCTTGTTTTCATCTTTGAATAAAACAACATTTTTAGAACCAGAAAAAGAAAACGTTAGTACTATTGATAATTATGAAATGAATACAAAGAAGGTTCAAAACATTTCTTTTAAAATAAATATGACCCCAATAAAATGTATCAAATTATTATATTCCTATATAGTTTTGGATGATGAAAAATTCCTAAACTTTTATATTATAGAAAAATTATTAGTAACACTGTGTGATATTTTAAAGGATAATAATATCATATTTAAAAATGAAAAAGAATATTATAACAAAAAAAAAATACACGAAATGATATGTATTATAAGAACATACTTACGATATAAAAAACCTTTTTTTTATAATTATTTACCAAAAAATGTAAAAAGAAAATTAAAAGATATATATATATATGATATAGGAGAAATAAAAATTAAGGAAAAAAATTTTAATGAAAAAGTATCTTATCATTTAAAAAAATTAAGAATCCCACATATACAAAATGTAATTAAAGGTGGTATATTATTTGATATATTAGAAAAGGATAAAAAATTAGTTTGGTTATGTTTATCATATCATCATTATTATGTTAGAACAATTGATTTAACAGTAGAAAAGTTATTAAAAATAAATTTAATAAAAGCTATGAATTATAAAATCTCAAAAATTCATTATTATCAATTTTCAAGAATGAAAGCCAAAAAAACCAGATTTGAATATATCCGCATGTGTAGATATTATTCATTAAGAGATAGAAGAAACTATGATGACGAATTAGAAGGATGGAATTTACCATATATTAATTGGTACCATAAAAAAAATAAAAATGTTCATATATCTAATTATTTTTATAATTATACACCCATATCACAAGTTGAATATTGATTTTTTTTTTTTTTTTTTTTTTTTTTTTCTATTTTTATATATACTTTACATATTTTATTTTCAGTCATTTTTCAATCATATTTATTGTACATACAATAAAACCATGCAACATAATATATATAATATATATATTACATGAAAATTTCCCTTTGATATAATATATATATATATTTATTTATTTGTATTATTTATTTGAATTATTTATTACTTCATTAAATGATTTTATATTTTTTTTATTTTGTAATTATTTAAGAAATAAAATTTTTGAACATATGACAAATATAAGAATAATTATAAGACTTAAAATTTTCTCTTATATATATGCAAATATATAACAGTTATATATATCTAAAAAATACTAAAAAAAATTCACGTTGCTATTTTTTAAATATCATTATTATATATATATATATTTATTACAAAATATTATCCTATAAAAGGTAAAAAAAATAAATAAATAAAAATAAAACTGGTTGTAAAATTTTCATATATTTAATAATAAGAAAAGAATTTGTTCATAAAACTTCTTTAATAAAATAGTAACAAAAAAAAATTTATATTATAAATTATAAATAATTTTATAAAACAAGAAAAGGAATGAAACATTTCATTTTTTTGTAAGAGACGTTAGAAAAAATATGTTTTCCTAATTATTCTGAATTTATTTTTATTATTTTATTTTTTTTCTTTTTTTCCCTTTTGCGTTTTTGAATTTATTAAATTTTTTTTAAAAAATATATAAAATTAATAAATTAAATTATAAAATAAATATTATATATAATATATATAATAATATATGATGATATAATTAATATATTATAATATAATATTAAATAAATATATAATATTTTATAATAATAAATATTTTTTATTATATTCTTTAAAAAAAAAAAAAAAATAAATAATAATCCCCTGTTCATATATAAAATAAATATTTTATTTTGTGGGTTTAAAAAAAAATTAATCTATAAATATATTATTATATATATTATAAATTTAAATAGATATAATCAATCTAATTCATCATTTCAGATACTTTTTTATGAATTATAAAATTCTGTATATTATAAAAAAAAAAATGATAATAGAAATATAAATATAAATTATTTATTATATACATAAAAATATATTGGTTTTAAATATAATTATATATATATAATATATAAATATATTATATAATATGATGATGTTATTTTTACTTAAATTATAATTATATATATATATATATAATATAACATAACAATACATTTAAAATAAATAATACATAAATTTATATATATATTATAATATATATATTTTTTTCTTTTATAAAATATACATGACTTAGATTTTTTTTATGGCTAAAAAAATGATATAAAGAACTCTATATATTATTATATATATATATATATATATATATATATATATATATATATATAATATAATATATAAATTTATTCATATTTTATATAAAAATAACGTATTATTTTTTATTACGTATTTAAAGAAATATATATATAAAATATATATAATAATATAAATGAATTCTCTTTATATATTATATATATATTTATATATATATATATATATAATTATAAAATATATTTATTTAATACTGATATAATATATATAGATCATACTTTTCAATTTTTTAATTAAATTTTTATATAATTATAGTAATATTTATTTTATTATTATTTTTAAATATATATAATATAGTATAAAAAAAAAAAATAATAAATTAAAAATAACTGCATTATATTTTAAGCTCAATGCAATATTTCTAAAATAAAATACTTATATATAAATATATATATTATATATATATATATATATATTATATATATATATATATATATTATTTTAACATAATATTAAATATAATATATATAAATATATAATATTATATATATATCTATATATAAATTATATATAATACATTATGTAATATATTTTTATATTATAATAACATATTTCTTTTATGAATATAAAAAAAAAAGAAGTCCGAAATTTTTTAAGTCCAAATGTTTGCGTTGTACTCTTTTTTTAAAACTATGTATTTATAAAAATATAACTACATATAAATATACATATTTATTTATATAATAAATTATTAATATATAATACATATAAATACTTTTTATTATTTTATTATTTAATTTTTTTTTTTTTTTGGAATATGATTTTTTTAACATAAAACATACATAATTTGTATACAATAATTAGATCATAAAAATATATAAAGATATATATATATATATTAACAAAGAAAAAAAAAAAATAATAACATAAGAATTTTGTATTTTTATAAAACGATTTAATAATAAAAAAAAAAAGAGACCATATTTTAAAAACATTTCACATATTAATTAATGATTTATATATATAATAATTCATTAAGTGTATGTTTTTATTATATATAAAATATTCTTTTTTTTTTAATTAATCGGATAAGTATTTTTTTTATATTAAGAGAGAGAATGCTTATGTCGAAAATGATATTTCACCAGTGATGTAATAAAAAATGAGAATAAATTTCTTTAAAGAAAAAAATAAGATACGATTAAATAAGAACCTCGATTTTGATTCAGATATAGCTGTATCTAATGCGAACAATGAATCAAACAATTATTTAACTGCCAATAGTGGTATGAATTAATAGAAACACACATGTAGATATGTATATTTAGAAAATAGAGATAAATACAAACTATATATATATTATATATATATTTATATGTATTTTATTTTTTTTAATAGATAATGAATATGATCATTATGGCTTTGAAAAAAATAAAGAATATACACAAGAAAATAATGATGATAATAAGAGGAACTTAGAAAAGTACAAAAAGAAGATTGAAAGGAGGTAACATATAAATTTTGCCATTTAAAATTTTTTTCTAAATATTATATTTTAAGCACATGTAACATCATTCTACATGTAATTTTTTTAAATGTGTATATATAAATTCATTATATATATATTTATTTATTTTCGTTTGTATGTTTAGATGGCAACTATATTTTACATTTAAAAGAGATATAAAAAAAAGTTATTATTTAAAATCTTTAATAAGAAAAGGAATACCCGATAAATTAAGGTGAAAAAAAAAAATATATATAATAAATTAAATAATGAAATATTAAGTATAATATATATATATGTGAAAAAGAGAGGAAATTAATTTTTTTTTTTTTTTTTTTTTTTCTTTTGTAGACCAGACATTTGGCCATATTTATTGGACAGCATGGTGTTATGTTTAAAATATCCTACCATTTATGAAAAGTACATTTAAAATATGTAAAACTGTTTATTGTTTTTATGATATAAAATTTAAAGGCATCTATCTACATATATATATATCTTTATATTTATATATTTGTATTTATTTTCATTTATATATATTTTTTTTTTTTCCTTCAGATGTTTAAATAGTGAACTAGAATCCAAGGTCTTAAGTCAAATTGACTTGGACATTATACGAACTTTTCCGCATAATAAAAATGTATGAATATTTTATATATTATTATTAAAATTAATTTAATATATATATATATGTATGGGTATATACTTGTGTATATATGTATATATACTTATAATGTTATGTTTTCAATAATTTTTTTTTTTTTTTCCGAAGTATCGATTAAATTCACCAGGATTGGTTCAATTAAAGAATGTGTTACGAGCTTTTGCAGTTTATAAGCCAAAAATAAATTATTGTCAGGTAATGAAACGTCTAAACTTATAAAATAAGGAAATATGAGATAAGTATGTATATATATATATATATATATATATTTATTTATTTATTTATTTATTTAATCTTTTTCTAGAGTATGAATTTTATTGCTGCAATTACTTTAATATTTTTAAAAGAAGAATTAGCATTTTGGTCAATAGTGCAATTAATTGATTCAGATTATTCACATGAAAAAATAAATATTAGTGGTAAGAATATTTAAGAAAATACAATTTTGTATATATGTAATATTATTAGCATTAAGACATCTATATATGTACATATATATATATATATATATATATATATATATGTTTAATATATACTTTCTATATTTCTTTTTTTAGATTATTATAATAATGAAATGAGAGGATTACGTAGAGATATAATTGTGATAGAAGAATTAATAAGGGTGAAATTGCCTGATGTACATTTACGTCTAAAGTATGTACATTACATTGATAAATTAAGAGAAATATATGGACATATATATACGTATTATTATATGATATAAATATATGTATATTTTTATATTTATTTATTTTTATCCTTTTAGAGAGTTTGATGTTGATCTTTCGTGGATATGTTCAGAATGGCTCTTGTGTTTATTTTGTACAACTTTTCCGGTTCTTAAAAAAAAAGAAAAAAAAAAAAAAAAAAAAAAACATATATATGTTATATATATATATATATATATATATATATATATATATTATATATATATTATTTCTTTTCTTTACGTATTTAGATTACTACTACATTACGTATATGGGACTGCTTATTTTATGAGGGAGATAAAATAATTTTTAGAATAACTTTAGCCCTTTTTAAATTGAATCAACAAAAATTATGTGAACTTAATTCTTTAGAATCTATTCTTTTATTATTCAAAGAAACCACAAAAAACATGGTAAGAAAAAAAGAATATAAAAAACCTAAATTTTTTATTCCTACTGCGACTATACGTATATATTTATACATCTACATATATATATATATATATATATATATATATATATATATATATGTTTTTATTTATTTATTCATTTATTTTATAGTTTGAATGTGATAAATTAATGTATATTGCTTTTAACGAAATTGGTGTCTTAAAGAAGAAAACCATAAGAAAGCTAAGATTAAAAGCGGAGGATATAATTAAAAACGCCGTACCGTAATGATATATATATATATATATATATATATATATCATTTCCTTATTTGTTTTATTGATTACTTTATATGTTTTTACATAATATAATGTATATCTTTATACCTAATATATTTTATGTTTTTATACCTCTTCATTTTACTAAATATTCTTACATTTATTTTAATTTTATTTATTATTTTTTTTTTTTTTTTGTTATTTAATGTTTTTTCATTTATACTCTTATTCATTCATTCATTCATCCTTTTTTTTTTTTTTTTTTTTTTTTTTTTATTATTATTTTTTAAGTGAATATATATTATATATGTTTTGATTTGTTCCTATATATATATAATATATATTATATATATAGAAAATTTTGTTTCCCATGTTTTAATTTTAAAATATTATATATATATATATATGTATATGATATATTTATTTTTTTCACCTTCATATCGTTTACATTATCTTCATTTCATACTTTTGTTAATAATAAAATACAAGAGTAATTTCCTTTTACACATTTATCTGTTATATATATATATATATATATATATGTACATTTGTGTGCTTGTGTATTTTTATTAATATTCTTTTTTTTTTTTTTTCATCATAAAAATTTTTTAATTAAAATTTATAAATCAATTCTAATGAATAAGTAGAATTCAAATAAATATATATATATTATTTTTTTTTAAGTGGAAATTCTTTTTATTTTGTAAATTTAAAAAGTAACAAAAAAAAAAAAAAAATAAAATAAATAAATATAAAATAAAATAATATAAAATTATAAATAATAGTAATGAAGTAAAAACAAATAGGAAGAAAAAATTAGTACAATAAAAATGAAATATGATGAACATTTTTA